AAAAAGTAGTCGATATCCACTGTTTTTGTCAGATGCTTACCGACAACGGGTTGCCCCGTAGCTTTATAGAACGTTTTATAGACAGGACAAGCACAATATAGAGCCAACAACAAATTAGCCCAAAATCTGTTGGGCGCTACCGTATATTTCGAACTATCTGAAGTAGTTACTTGTCTGTTGCAACCATTGGGTATCGGCACCATCCACAGATTCAAAGCAACAATCAGACGTCTGGTTATGAGGCATATGGTTTCTCCGTCAAGAGTTGGAAGGATTAAAGTTGCCTACCAGAGCCAGTGCAGTTCCACTGAAGCGAACTACGTATGAGAAGACCGGTATGAGGCTGCAGACCCGCACGAGTTAGTACGTAAGGGACAAATCGATCGACTGTCGCTAGTGGCAAAGCATTATTCGGTTTCTAAACATGGCTTCACTGCCCAAGACGCCTAAGTGCTGGGTCGAGGGGTCAGGCAAATGAGAGGAGACGCTCTAGGCCTGGCACATCACTACTACCTCCACCAACCGCTGTGTGACTCTGTCGGTTGCCTAACAAACTCTTTTGGTACAGTTAACTAATCAGGACCGCGGATGGGAAGTCCGACCAGACAAGGTGATAGTCAAACTATTCCATTACAACACGTTCAAGAAATGCTAACTCTGTCTTAAGAATTCGTGTAAATTTGATGGGAAATACTGCCAACAGAGTAAGGGTACCTCAATGGTCTCGCCAATATACAGCTTACTCGCGGAACTCGTTATACAACAATTATAAGGATACCCAATCCAAACTTTCGGGTCAACAATGTGGCTTTCACATGTGGATGACACATTTGTTATAATGAAAACCTGCGAAGTTGAGCAACTGCACTCTGAATGCCATTTTTCCAAGTATCCAATGTATTCGCGAAGCAGCAACAGGAGATACCTTCTTGTTTATAGACTTGAGAATCCAAAAACGCACTGATTGTCGACCGACAACGAGCATCTACGAAAGGGCTTAAACATTGACATAATCCTTAACTATGAGAGCAACGATCCGGCGGCCCATAAAAAAGTTGCGTTCGCATACTTTTCCGCCGTGTATTTCGTTATTGTGGCAAGGACGACCTAATTAGGACGGAGTTCTTTTATCTGTTCCGGTTCAACGGATATCCGGTCAGTTTTGTGAAAAACCGCCAGAGACAAACGCAAAACGTCGACTCCAATGGAGAAAGTGTCGCGGAAATCCTACTTTCTGCTCTGCGTAGAGAGAATTTTTGAAGCGAACTTCGGATAATAAATTATAGTTGTTATCCCCATTATCCAAAAGCCGGCATCTTCCTTGAGCGCAACAATATCCTGAGTTAAAGACCCCAAACTCAAAGAGCAGCTAAATAATGTCATTTACCGCATTCCATATGCTAACTGCCCGTGCGCTTACGTAGGCCACATAGGTAGACAACTTGGAACATAAGCTGGCTATCCGCCGACGAGATCCGTTGTCCCTCGTGTTTGCGCAGGCCGTTGATTGCGACCATCGTTTCATTTTGGGCAGAACCGAAGTGGTCGCCATGGCTAACACCGATCAGGCGCGAGAATTCCCTGAAGCTTGGCGCTCCACACAAACAACA